TCCTGAATTTAAAAATTCATAATTAATTTCATAAGTTTTCAAAACTTAAAAATTAGGACTTGTTGGAAAGATTGAGCAGTATACTTTCTGATACAAAAAGAATCACTCAAGAATATGATCATTTGCCCATTGAAAAACCAAAATCCCAAGACTGTTTAAGAAAACTACAAGTATGATAAAGAAAAAGGATTCTAAATATCTATTCGTTAATTTTACTTAGTAATTTTTCTTTCTCAACTTCCATCCTAGCATTTTCAATAATTTTCTTCAGTATTTCTAAGCCACATTCAAACAAAACTATATTATCAAAGATTGCTCATAATCACTCAATTTGTAGCCTTACATATTAAATTTTAATATTTAAAATTTGGAATGTTATAGTAAGCACGAACACTTGTAGCTATAGGGATCCAATTGGGAAGTGGAGTTCCCCAGGAGTAGGATACAAGGATATAAATGTAGATGGGGTGCATTCAAATTGTAGTGGAATCTTGGGATGTGGCAAAATCATAAGAAACCACAATGGGGAGGTGTTGGGTGGTTTCTCCTATAACCTAGGAAATGGTGATTGCTTCAGTGTTGAAGTTGGGGGCATAGTGTGGGGCTTAAAGATAGCTTGGGGCATGGGTCTAAGATGCGTGGCTGTCGAATCAGATTGCTTGAAGCTTGAGGATCACCTAATCAAACATGGTGATGTGGTTACCTAACATAAAGGATTGTTGGCTAAGGTTGAGGATATGCTAATGCATGACTAGGTTCAAGTATCTTGGTGCGCTTGTGAGGCTAATGCTATCTAAGAAGGTGGCGAAAAACACAGTTTCTATCCTCAAGTCCCTTAATGTTGACATTGTGAATAAATTTGGAAGTTTGGTGTTGCTTCATTCCATGATGCAAGAAATGGAATAGCCACATAGTTTCAAAATGCTGCTGAAGATTATGGGTTTAGAGCTAACATATAACTTCACTATCAACAAGAAGGACCTCGTTCAGCTCCTTAACTTTGAGGAGCTAGATGCAGTCTTTATGCATCTAGCCATTTTGTAAGTTATAATATCATTTTCTTATTTTATGTTATACTTATGCATGTCTTGACCTTTTCTTATTTGAACAATAGACATTTTAGCCGCATAGGCGCAAAAAAAAAAAAGAAATTAGGGCACATACAAATTCATGTGTCCTCAAAAAGTGCAAGGAACATCAAACAGCTCAAAAGTGAGGTCAATCTACATGATAACCATAATGACCCAAACCAAGAAGAAAATACATTTTGCACTTTATGTTAAAGGGTAAGTATACTATTGTATTTAGGACCCACACATTATATATATAGAATTATAATTAATGTGATTTGTATTTTGTAGTTATCATTAGACTCTTGTTCTTGTCCCCTATGATAATCATGTCTATTGATTCGATTCCCTCTATGGAGTGCCAAAAGAGTCAACCAAGGATGTCAATGAGACGTGAGTTTATGGTTAGAAATTTATTACATACAAAATTTACAAAAACATGCTATAATATCATTTTTTTTTAAATTATTTATAGGGTTTTTCAAAGTTTCACTGTAGTGAGTAGTGACTGAGAAGAAAAAGCTATCACCAATAAGGATTCTCCCACAAGTATGTTATTCTGAGCAAAGTTTTATACTTTTAAATTTTCCAGATAGTCAAAGTTAAATATTCAATTCTATTTTTCATTTCATTAGTACCATTGTCAATCCAGGAGTGTTGAATGTAGATATTACATGATCTGCTATATGAATGACATCATTGAGTCAAGGGTTACTGAGAAATTAGATGAGGTAAATAAAAGTTATATTGTAATTCGTCAATTGTGATCCAGTTGACTAATGACCTTGTTCTTTTTAATTTACAAGCATTCCAAGATATTGTGGCATGTGAACCCAATGAAATTAGCTCAATAGAGGATGCTTTGTCAACAACACTACTTGAGAATATGAGTTGATAAACATTTTGAAGTTCAAAATTTTGGTACTAATAGTTAAATTAGGTTTAGTTGAGAATATAGGTATTTTGATTCATTGTTTATTAGGTTTAGTTTAACTATGGATTGGTTAAGTTGTTGATCACTAGGTTTAGTTGAATAAGGATTGAAAACTTTAGTTATCTTTGAGTTTTAGTTATCTTTGAATAAGGATTGAAAACTTTAGTTAGAGTTGAGTTCTAGCATTGAATTCATTGAATTTTAGTTAAATTTCAGTTTAAAGAAAAGTGTGTTTTAGATTTGAATTAGTTTTGCATTCTTCTGGTTTGTTGTACTAGCTGGAATCAGTCTGTTTGCTTTGGTACTGCGGGGAGGTTGTATACAAATTAAAACAAATTTATATGAAAAAAACTTCTACAATATAAAACCATCATGAAAGATAGGAAAATAAAAAGTATTTATTTTACACTTTTCACTGTGGTTATGTCCTAGAAACTACTATGAAAAGTTAATTTTTCACCGTGGTTACTAACTATTGTGAAAACATGTTCTTTTTACATCCATAGTATGCACAGCACCTCAAAAACTATCCTGAAAAGTCTTTTTTAATTGCCATAAAAGATACTTTTTATAATAATGAACCACTGAGATCTTGTGTGCCTAGGGGTTGACAATCTTCTCTGCTCTTTCGAATTGTATAAAGGAAGGTCTAGTTTTTGATGTAATGATGAACCATCCAATGTGATGACGTTGTGCTTTACTCATAAAAAAAAAAAAAAATCAAAGCACCAAATACTTAACTAAAATTAAAAAAAATGAAAAAGGAAAGGAATAGTGATTTTGAAATAAAATACTATACTTTTATTTAATGCATGGCTTATGAAATTTTAAAAAAAAATTTAGGGTTGCAACTGATTATAGTACGAGTTATATTGTAAAAAGTTTAAATCTAAGTTAGAAATTAAAGTATACAAGGAACTAGCATAGTAAAACCAGACAACCTTACCAAGTTTAGGACCAAGTTTTTCTTTTTGACCAAATAGGACAAAAGGTTTTAAAAGAATAAAAATAAAAATATTCACAAAAAACAAGCTTTTAATTTCTTCCAAATGTTTCTTGATGTAACCATACGAAATTTCTATTTCTCCTGCACTGCAGAAATAGCTATATTGAAATGTTTAAAGTATATTGTTGATTAGTAATGCACGCCTAGCTAGGCAATTTCATATGGTGTGGGAGCATCATTTTACTTTATTCATTTGTGACATTTTGATGGATATCTATGTCTAAAAGATATGTTCTCCAAGCAGTGCCACGACATTTCTACAAACTCAAGTTAATATTAAAAATAACACATTTAAAATAGGTCTTTCCTTTTGGTGGGGCTGGACACGGAGAAATTGATATTCATTACTGTGTCAAATTATTGATTTGGCCAGGTCAACATGGAGAACTTGAATGTTGGCGAGTGTGTTAAGTTATTGAGTTTGACTTAGTCATTGAACATGTTTCTTCAAACAAAAAGGTTATTAAATGCTTCCGCTCTTCCAAATTATAAGAAATATGCAGTTCTTGAATTATTGGAACGTGCCTCTCATGCATGATGCTCTTTGTATGAGTGATATTTTTATGTTATTTTAAGGGTACTTATTAGCTGGCCAATGCTAATAAGCAAGACATGTATTTAATTTGTACGAAACCTTGGTTTTTCAAAAAATATGATCCTTCTAGATCCATAAAAACAGACCAACATTAATCGTCCACCTAATCAGTTACTACCTTCAGTCTTAAATATAACATCTAATTTATACTACAAATTACTACTTCAATTTCTTAATATAAAACTCGGTTGATTAATTTGGAAAAATTAAAGAAGTTATTAAATTACTTTAAAGTACTTATATTTATGGTTTTTCTTCAAATTAATTTGCCTCACTTATAAATTGATATATAATCTAATGATACATGTACAAATAAGTATTTTAGAGAAATCATGTAACATGTGTGTTATAATTAAGTAATTTAATAATATTCTTAATCTCTTCAAATTAGTCAATTAGATCCTACATTGAAAATCAAAGATAATAGATCTTATATTTAAGACAAGAGGTAGTATATTATTTTGCATGAACAGTAATCTTGTATCCATCGATCAAGACAAGGAGAAATGATGTATGCCATTCCAATATGACAAGTATGAGAGGCATCAAAACACATTATTTAAATCATAGGCAATTCACGGGTAGATCATTGAGCGTTCATTTTTCTGTTCTCCTGTTGGTTTTTTATTTTTTTTCCAATGGGCCGGCCATATAAGCCAATTGAATGTTGACGAGTTTGTTAAATTATTGAGTTTGACATGGTCATTCTAAATGTTGCTTCAAACAAAAGGGTATTAAATAGTGAGTCCTAGATTAAATAATAAGAAATATATGCAGTGCTATAAACTTCTTGGAACGAACCTCAAGACGCTCTCTGTATATATAAGTAATATCTTTACGTTCCACTGCTGATATAAGCAAGCCATGTATTTGGTAGAAACCTCAGTTAGTCAAAGTATGATCCTTTTGGATTACGATAAATAAATAAATTATCATTGTTTATTTCCATCGTCCCCCTAATTGACCGTTTGATTTATATGAAAAATACAATTATCTTGTATCCACCGAACAGGACATGAGAGGCAAAAATTGTGGTATGAGTTAACCCCACAATCACAAGTAAAATACTCCTCCGGTCCTTATTATAAGACCCAATTTGACTTTTTATTTGGTCCTAATTATAAGACCCAATCCATTTTGTCTCTTATATTTATACATTTTTTTCCAAGATAATCCTTCTAATAATGATAGTTTTAGCCAATATACTTAATTAGCAAGGATATTTTAGGAATGACAACACTTATTTATTATAAATAACCAACTTAACTTAATCTCCTCAAATAAGTCAATGGGTCTTATAATTAGGACCGGAGGAGTATATGATTTTGTGTGATCATGAGTGTATATATATGAGTTTTCTGTGTCAAAGAAAAAGCCACAAATCACAGGCAGAATATGGGTAAATCTTTGTGTGTCCATTTTGCTATCTTCTTATTATTGTCCGAATTTGCACATTTATGCTTGTGTAAAACTTCGAGTGAAAAATGCTTAGAACGAGAGAAGCAAGCTCTTCTAGATTTCAAAGCTACCATTGTTGATCCATCAAATAGGCTTTCTTCTTGGAATAATTCCAATAATGATTGTTGCAATTGGAATGGAGTGGCTTGTGACAATCTTACTGGCCATGTTATCAAGCTTGATCTAAATCCATGCCGCCGTTCTTGTGACTTCAGCCAACTCGTTCTTGAAGCTTCACACGTTGATCCGTCTCTTCTGCAACTAGAACGCCTAAGTTACTTGGACTTGAGTCAAAACCAATTTCATGCCTCTCCAATTCCCTTCTTCTTCGCTTCTATGCATAATCTAAGATATCTCTCTCTTTCCAATGCTAATTTTAGTGGGAAGATTCCTTATAATCTCAGTAATCTCACCAGCCTAATCCATCTCGATCTCAGCTCCAATGATTTCCAAGTCAATGACATGAATTGGCTTTCTGGGCTTCGATCGCTACAAGAACTTGACATGAATGGTATTGACCTTGGAAAAGCACATGATCTATTCCAGGTACTTTACAAGCTTCCTTCTTTATCACAGTTATCTTTAGTTTACTGTGGAATTCACACATTGATCCCTCTTCGCCGCTCTCTTAATTTCTCCTACATTCCAAGGGTTCAAGTGTTGTACCTTACTGATAATGCAATAGATAGTCAAAGTCTAGATGTTGTTCAAAACATGACTTCTATTGGAGTCCTTGACCTTTCTTTCAACACTATCAGTTCATTGCCAATGTGGTTGAGTAAATTTGATGGCCTTGAGGAACTAAATGTTGCTCAAAATGCACTTTTTGGTCCGTTTCCTCTAGCTCTTCAAAACTCATCTTCCTTAAGAGTGCTTGATCTTTCTTCAAACAATCTTACAGGTTCTGTTCCATCATGGTTAGGCGAGTTAAACAACCTTCACAGCCTATCTCTGGCATCAAATAATCTCACTTCTTTAGAATCTTCTCTATCATTGATTCTCAGGAACATGTGTCGTCTGAGAGCTTTAGATTTCTCAATGAATAAGTTCCAAGGAGAGTCATTTGGAAGTTATGGGTTATCTGGTTGCATTAAGTATGATCTAGAGCAACTTGATTTGAGCTATAACAAGTTTGAAGACAGTTTGCCTTTTTGGTTGGGGAAACTTGAAAATCTAAGAGAGATTCACATATCAATAACCTCATTCTATGGTTCCATTCCCTTATCTGTGCGAAAATTGTCACGCTTGACAAGACTTGATCTTGTTAACAATCGCTTAAATGGATCAATTCCGAGTAGTCTTGGACAACTTGTGAATCTAACTTACTTGCGTCTCTCTGGCAATCAATTGGAAGGGTCTATTCCAAATAGTCTCGCACAACTTGTGGATTTGAAAGTACTTGATCTTTCAAATAATCATATCAAAGGCATCATTCCACAAAGTCTTGGTCAGCTTGTAAATTTGAACCACCTTGTTCTTGCCAAAAATGATTTACATGGAAGCATCCCAAAGACTTTTAGCCAACTTGTGAAGCTAATTCAACTAGATCTTTCTTCAAATAACTTGAAGGGAGAAATTTCTACAATGAAAGATTGGCCTTCATTTGAACAACTCAAAATCTTGAATCTCTATGGTAACCAAATCACCGGATCATTGCCTGAAAACATTGCTGATAGAATGCCTAGCTTGGAGTGTTTGCTTCTTGGAAATAACCTCATAAATGGTTCAATACCAAACTCATTGTGCCAAATTGGCACCTTGTATCAACTTGATCTCTCAAAGAATGAATTGTCTGGAGAAATTCCAGATTGTTGGGGGGACAATCAACAATGGGATGAAATAAACTTGTCATCCAACAAATTATCAGGCGGTTTCCCAAGCACATTTGGTAAGCTTTCCTCGTTGTTCTGGCTGCATTTGAACAATAACAGCCTTCAAGGGGAGCTTCCACTCTCTCTAGGACATTTAAAAAAATTGCTAATTTTGGATGTTGGTGATAATCAATTTGTCGGAAGTATACCACCATGGACTAGGAAAACTTTTCCATCAGTGAAAATTCTTAGACTGCGACAAAATAACTTGAATGGCAGCATTCCTTCACAGATTTGCCAACTCACATCACTCCAAATCTTGGACCTTGCAAGTAACAACTTAACAGGTTCGATACCTGATTGCATTGGCAATCTTAGAGGAATGACCAAATCCTCCATGTCCAATGTAGCCAAGATGAAATTTGATTTTAACATTCTTAAAATTAACTTCATTGATGAGTGGCTTACTAAGGAAGTTGAGCAAGTTTTGAAGGGGACAGTTCTTAGTTATGTCAAAAACCTGAAGTTTGTGGTGAATATGGATTTGTCTGATAACAAACTGGTAGGATATGTTCCTGAAGGAATAATGACTCAACTCACAGGATTGGTTGGCTTAAATCTCTCACACAATCATTTGAAAGGAGAGATTCCTCAAAGAATAGGAAACCTTAAATCACTTGAATCCCTTGATATCTCTTTTAATAACTTTTTTGGCCAAATTCCTGGTACTTTCTGTACTATGTCATTTTTAAGCTACGTAAACTTGTCATACAATAATCTCTCAGGAACTATTCCAGTAGGGAACCAGTGTTTGACATTTATAGAGGGATATAATATTTATGCTGGCAACCCTTATCTTTGTGGAATCCCACTTCTGAATAAGTGTCCTGGCGATGATCAAGTTCCTGAAAGAGAAGGCTCCGAAGAGAAAAATGATTCTGACAAGGTGTGGTTTTACTTTGTAGTAGCACTTGGTTTTGCAGTTGGCTTTTGGGCTTCCATTGGAACTTTAGTGCTAAAGAAAAGCTGGAGATATGCTTGCTTCCGAAGAGTGGAATATGTAGCGGATGAAATATATGTGACCTTTGTACTTAAAGTTGCAAAGCTGAAGAGAATGTACAGAAATTGGGCTGATGATTGACACTGTCATAATATGTTTCCTTTTGTAATTTTGTTTCTTTTAGTCAATAAATTAAATGTTTTAGTATGTGCGTTGTGGTTGTAATAACGTGTCTTGTTACTTTATATAATCTTTGTTCTTTAATTATGCGTGTACGAATTTGCTGTTTATAACATGAATTAGATTGTTTTTCCATTGTCAGCTTGATTTTGTTTCTCCTAATTTGAATTGATTTATATATGACATTGACAACTTATAGTGTTAGATTCATAGCTATAAATATTTTTCGCAGCCAACTTGTTATAAGAATAGTTGTCGCTAATGGATTGGACTATTGGTTATGGGAGAAATGAATATAGCCTCCTTTTTGCCTTAAACCACTTGATTAATTATATGAAAGGAAAATTTTAAATGATAGGAAAATACTTGAATCTTCCCTCTTAATAATTAAACTCTCTGACTCCAAGTAACATAGCCTCTCCAATTTCATGCTTATGTAGTCGCTTCTCATTCTTTTTGCCTTGTTTTATTGTTATCTACAAATGCTTAGCTAGCTAGCAAGAGTGTGACAATTGACTAATATGAGTAACGCCTATCCTGCTATCTATATGTTTAGCACACAATTTCAAATATTTAATCACAGGAATGCTAAATAAACAACTAAGGCAACATTTAAGGCTTCCTAATTTGAGGGAATGGTGGACACAAGATGATACTTTGATTCAAAATTCCTTTCAAGCAAGTTAGACAAGCAACTTGATGAAAACAAATATATGGAAAACCTTTTCCAGCAAGTGAGATACTGAAAGAGAAAACTATGACAAGAGTGAGCAACTTGATTATGATAAATTTATGCGAAACTTTTCCAACAGACAATGTACTGTTAAAGTGGCTTGTTACAGAGTGGAACAACCTTTGGAGGCACAGCTTGCGTGTGGCGGAGCGGTGGTCAAGCGGATTTTTGTCGATCACAATTTGAGAAAGAGCCGCTTGTACACATTTAGAGTGGATAACTTGATCATTGCTTGGAGAATAATCGTTGTTGTTAATGACAAGAGGATTAGAGTCCTTACTCACATGAGTCACAGGAATGTCCAATGAAACCTGCCATGGAACTAGTGCTCGTGTGGCCATATCAATTCCCTGAAAGAACTCCACAAGAGCTAGGGACAAAAGATTTATAACACCATCTTCTAGTCGTAAGTAACATTATTGCAGAAAAGCCCTTTAACGTCGGTTAAAATGGACTTTTCATAATGATTTTGAGAAAGACGTCTATGTCTTCAACGTATTCATGGTTCATGTTCTATGCTCCATGAGAGCGTACAGTAATATTTGATGGGTATGAGTATTTAGAGCAAATGCCTTCAGCTACATATTCCAAAAGAGGGCATACCTGAAAATGAAAAACAACAAGAAAGACTTTAATATTTTGAACATGACTCTCTATTTTATCCATATTTTTTTAAGCTACATTTAATACCGCTTTTCTTCTTCATCATCTTATTTTTTGGAATATAAATGTTAAAAACGTTATCCCACAGGCATCACGAAATCTTTCCAGCGAGAGACTTTTATTTATTTATTTTTTTTCATTTTTCAAACTCGTTACATATTTCTATTATTGTAGACACCCAGCTTTTGATTTAAATATTTTATTTTAAAAATGAAAAAAAGTCGCTTGAGCGATAAGTTTTTGACTTGCAGCTATTACTTCCGTTAATGTTCTTTTGCTCTTTTTTATCGGATGTCCATCATTTAAAGTTCATTGGATATGTTGCTAAATTCGTTTTCTCAAATTTAGTCGCTATAGCTATTTAGAAAACAAATAAATTAAATGATTTTCTTAAAGAGAAGGATGAGTCAATTGTATTATTTTGAAAAAGAATTCAAATCCTTAATTAGGTGGAAATATTGAAGGATTTACTAAATGAAAATCTACTGAAATAATGACTTTGCTAAAATTTACTGAGCAATATAATTGTGTTTGTGTGAATGTTGTAATCCATCATTAATATATACTTGTAACAAACGCAATTAATTGTCTCCTCTTAAAACAAGTGCGCTCCGTTATGCCTCTCTTGAAGAAATTTAAAAACCAAGGAAGGAAATAGGCTCGTGGCTTTTTTTTTTTTTTTCCTTGCAATATTGTCACCATATGTTGGTCATTTTACTAAACTACAATCAGGCCATATGGTTCAAAAAAATTCTCACCATGTAAAGCCACTTTCCATGTAAAAGAAACAAATTTCTAGAGAGTCTACGTATTGATATTAGAAAACCACTGATAGTGTTCTTAGGAATATTCTCGAACACTTCTGGTTTCAAGATAATTGTTAGAAGTTTCGGTTGTTGTTTTGTGTGCAGTAGTGAATTCATGCATGTAATAAATAGCATGAGCATGGTTCTCAAGACAGAAAAACCAAATTAAGCAAACCAGCAAAAAATCATCCTCTGACCCTAAATCCCGGAACCAGTTTCGGTGTTTATTATTTTGATGAGTACTTTAAGCTCATCAAATGTGGATCCTTCATATCTCATTTGAATGATTTAAATTTGATTTCTTATTTATTTTTATTTGTTTAAAATAATTATTTTGATATGTATAGAATCTAAAATAAAGATAATTTCTTAACTATCATTATTTAAAAAAATAATTTCTCTATTTAAAAATGTAAGATAAATAACACAATAGATTGAAAACATACCGGGTCGGGTCGGTCGGATCTTCTTAGCTCACGCTTAAGCTAGACTATAAAAGTCTGAGCTTTTAAGTGCACAGCAGAGCACCTCTTTTGCAAGAAAGAAAATAAGAGAGAGAGAGAGAGAGAGTAGGAAAGCTCTACTACTTGAGTGATTTGAACTGATGGGGGGAAGCCTCTATTTATAGCTTTTGTCAGGGATATTTTGGGTAGTATAAAAATATCCACTGAGCCCATCAGATAAAATCAGAGATAAGATATAATATATCCTTATCTCATAATATCATGATATTTGAATTTAAATCCAGAATCAATCACAATTAATTCTAAATATATATACTTAATATATATTTAATCTACACAATATAAATTAATTAATTTAATATAAATTAATTAGATTTATATCGTAACCGATTGGATATGATTCAGGATGTTTGACCAAGTCAAACATATCACAATATCACTTGGATATTGACTGATATATTCTCTTTATACCCGGTCAAATAATCCGGCCCATCAAGGGCGGATCCAAGCCCAAAAATCTAACATCTCCCACTTGCACTTGATGGGCTGCCCATCGTGCGATAGCTAAATCTTTCATTGCTTCATACTAGGTGTCTGCCGTGACCGCATGGGCATGATGTCATCGATTCGGGCACCTATGCACTAGAATCCTTTATGCAGGACCAGCACACAAGAACACCCTTGGTGTACCTGCAAATTGTATGCTTGTTGCCTCGAATGCCCTAGTTTTATCCATACACTTTACTTGTGGCATATCTAATCCCTCTCGAGTTATTTTGTTTACTCAGATTGCCTTCTCATACGTATGGTATCCACACTTGCTTAGTTGTTTTGTTCAACCTGCAAGGGACATGTCACAGACACCAACGTAGATGTGTATTTCAGGATAAATCTTCCTTCTGACTATTCATCATTTAGATTTGGCATAGTCGCTTTCTCAGTCTTGACCCGTTAGATCGCATCATTCTTGACCATGGGGTTTAGGCTAGAGTAGCTGCCACTAAACCAAAACCTTGTGATGTTGTCTAAGTCTTAAGGGCATTATGAAAGGTTTTATTTCCTTTCTGGGACTCACACCGTAATGGATCAGGGATCTTCCATCTACGTCCCTTGTTGCGGATTTGAGTGAGCTCATGCAGTATGAATTGCATGCTACAGTGCTCAATCCACTAAGTGGAGTATGTCGTTTTTGGTTTTAATAGCACCGTACAAACTTAAGTTCTAAATGCACTCCAACATTTGAACCAGGAGCTCTTTCATCACAACTATATATGACGTCTTACTAGTGAAGAGTTCCTTGTCTGGCTACAGGTCTCATGGATGACACATTATCCATGATTCGGCCCAAACTTTTATGGGTCTCATCTCAGTCTAGCTGAGGTGACATTTGTGCAGTGATTCTTCTCTACCATCTCATGGTGATCATCTGTTGTCAAACCTTCTATATCCCATGAGAACATAGCGAGGCGGTTGCTCGTGTGAGTGAGCCAACCTTGTGACCTGTACGACATATTTGTATTGCATACCTTGTGCCTATGCATGTATAAATACACAAATATACAAGAAAAATTTCTTTGAACTAGATAAAATGCATTGAATTACTAAGTAAGAGGAAAAAGGTTCAGTACAACATGCCTTGTACTTGCGTATTTGAACAAAAAAGGATCAAAAAGAAAAAGGGGTTCAATACATCATACTCTACGCATGCCCAAGGCCTTTACATGCTTGACGAAAGGATCTCTAGCTATAGGCTTGGTTAGGGGATCTGCCAACATCTTATAAGTGGACAAGTATTGAACTGTCACTTGTTTCTTAGCGATCATATCCCTTACAAAGTGATATTTTATGTCTATATGCTTAGTACGATTGTGGTACTTAGGGTCCTTGGCATAGGCTATTGCTGCTTGACTATCGCAGTGAATCAGAGTTGGTCCCTCACTCCCACCATGGATTCCCAATCGTACTAAGAATCTTTTGAGCCACACAGCTTCTTGGACAGCTGCAGAACAAGCTACATATTCTGCTTCCATGGATGAAAGAGACACACACGTTTGTTTCTTGCTGCTCCAGGAGATTGCTCCCTTATTCAGAAGGAAAGCATAGCCTGACGTCGAGTGTCGCTCGTCCAGGTCTCCTGCCCAATCAGCATCGGAATAACCCTCCGCACGGAGGCCATTTCCTTGATAGCATAGCTCATAGTCCATGGTTCCTTTTAGATATCTCATAATCCTCTTTACAGCTTCCCAGTGTTTGACTCCTGGATTGGATTGGAATCAACTCACAAGTCCGACTGCGAAGCATATGTCTGGCCTGGTACACAACATGGCGTACATTAGGCTGCCTACGGCACTTGAGTATGGGACTCTCTTCATGCGCTCTATATCGCATTGTTTTGTAGGGTGCATTTCCTC